GGCGTAAAACAAATTCTTATTTAGAAAAACCTTGCTTTTAAACAGTGTCCAAAGTTTTGACCTGAAGAAAGTAACTTACCAGCTGCAGATGCACGTCACATTTTGGCTCGTGCAATTATCATTATCCAAGTTTTTTTTACCTAGAGTTTAATTAACTTATACCATTAATAGCTTGAGGTTCGAGAAATTGTATGACTCTGCACAAGAGACAGATTCAGAATTTTGAGTTTACGGGTTTTAGTTCTAAAAAGTATAGCTTACTTGATTCTGGATAAATTATTTATATATATACAAGATTTTGGTCAAAGTTACTTAATTCTGCCGAACGCATAACTAAAACTCTAGCTCTGCACCATCGTGTATGATCTTTTGTTGAAGATGCCAATCTTGAATTGCATATGCTTTAGATTGATGTTAGAAAATAATAAATAAATAATGGTTTTGAGGCGTGAAAATCGACTGTCCTTAAAGAGTTATCGCCTGTATACTAATTTAGGAAAATACAAAACGATTCTCTTTGGGATACAACAAAGCGTGCAATAATACATGTGATTTTTCTATGCCACTTCGTTGAAAATTCTTGTGTATTTATAGGCAACCAACAGACCCTTTCAGAAAAGATGTTTTGTTTCACAAATAGACATATTTAGTTGGACCCTTTCGTAACAGACATAACTGTTTATTCGAATTTTGAATTTAAAATTCAAATAAATTTGATTTTTCTGTCAAAAAATAAAATAATTTAACTTTAGGATCCGACCCGGCCCGCGCCCCAGTTCCAAGTCCAAGTCTTTAATTATATAATATAATAATATATAAATATATAGTGTACTTAATTGCACGCACTTAAAAATATGTGTCCTAACAAAGACATAAATGGGACAAGTACTTAAAAGGCTCCAAAGAGACCTTCTCTCTTCCGATGTGGGAACAATCCCACTTCCCAACTTGTGAATAACAAACTAACTTACAGAAGAAAGGACTGAGATCTGGATACAACTTCCGTATTACAACCAGGGGCGGATTTAGGGGGCGCAAGGGTGTTCAGCCGAACCCTCTTCGCCGAAAATTACATTGTTCATATAGGCAAAATCTAATTTTTACCTCTATATATTATGTTTTGAATCCCCTTTACACAGCCCAAAAGCATGGCTTAGTGGTCAAGGGGGTTCAAAACTATTGTGAGGTCATTGGCTCAATTTTCACTACCTACATTCTCTTTAAATTTTTTAACTTATTCCTTTTTTGAACCCAACTGCCTTTATGAAATGACGGATTTGGTGTGGTGGCATCGTTACCTTGCTTTTTCTCTCATCTTGCCCTTCCTTATTATCAAATAATCATATTTTATCATTTATTTTACTTTTTATATTATATTTCAACCTCGTATTCTATTTTTTCTTAATAATATTGCAAGTCTATTATTCATATTGTTGGTGCATGACATCATAAAACAACAACAAATGATATAATTCTATCCAAACGTTGTATTTACTAAATAATACAATATAATATGTTATATTATGAAACGTCATGTAACAGTCATTCAAACAAGCTATTAGTTTATATCAGATTATATCCTTTTCCCAAATAAGGATCGTTTAGATTATTGTAATCTGATTAGTTAAAATGTCATTTTCTTAAAGTCACAATAACTTGATAGGTGGGAGTAGATCAAATTGAGCAACAAAAAAGAAACTACTCTCCATGTTCGATGTCACCAAACAACAGGGTTGAATTTTAATTTACCAATAAGAAACATATTTAAACACTCAATCTTCACGCGCAAACACGTAGATCATTAGCAGGAATATTCAACTACAAATTATCAAATCCTCAAATTCCAGTAAGAACTAGAATTTGTTTTGATAGTTGAAATTTCCTTTTCCCTCAGCCGTCAGATCTGACTGGTTTGATCATCCGCAAATTATTTACATTTTTCATAACACAAATGTAGTGTAGTGAAAAGAACTAGAATTAGCCTCTTATACTTAAAGAGGCTAATTAAGAAAATACATATGAAGTATGAAGACGGAAATAGTCACGTGGAGCTACTTAATAGGGTGAGCTGCTTTTTTTAAACGGAGCTCTACCCTCACACTCATAAAATTTTTACTCGTGTTTATACCAAACCACATTAGCTTACTACGATTAAGAGAAAGATTGAGGCAATACAATATATACTTCCTCTGTCTCATATTATGTGTCGTGTTTTTCTTTTACACGCTCCTTAAGAAATATTAATTAGGAAAGGTATTGGACTACTCTAACCTTATTTATGACTTAAGATATAATCTCTCTTCATCGAGTATTTATTCTATTTATGTGTTATCTCTATCTTCAAGAATAATTATTACTAAGGTAAAAAAGAAAAAACAACAATCAATTTTGTCTTGAACTTCTAAACTGACAAATAATTTGAGATAACTATTTTTAGTAACCACGACTGTTAATATGAGATGGAGGGAGTATTAAATGACCATGGTGAGTGACTAAAATGCATAAAAAGGACAAGTTTCAATGTGTTAATCGGTTCGGTGTAAACACTGAGTATAAGTGAATAGAAACTAGGACGACTATAAATGTTAAACCTTTTGGACTTGGAAAAAGTATAACGGCCTATAACAAATAGTGGTACAAGAAAAAGCCTTCATCTACCTTCCTCATTACTTTTCTTTTAGTATACATGCACAAGTTTGTTCTGCTTCTACCAGCCATTGGATGGTAGAGAGGGAAAAGTAAAGAGAAAGAAAGGGTCAAATTTTCATCAAGAAAGTGAAAAATGGAGAGGAGGGGCTTGTATGTCTTGATTGTGGCAATCATAATTATTGTGAGTGGAGCTGAAGGGCAACTAGTAGAGAACTTCTATGGTTTTACTTGTCCAAATGTGGAATTCATAGTTCAGCAGGCTGTGTCTACAAAGTTCAGCCAGACTTTTGTCACTATTCCAGCAACTCTGCGTCTCTTTTTCCATGATTGTTTTGTTGAGGTAACAGCCTAATCTTCTTCTACAATTTGATTCTCTGTAATAGGATATGATGATGAGAAAACTATCTCAGTATGTTAACAGATTTGGGATGTCCAGTACTAGAGTTTCAAGTGATCAATATTTCCAAGATTTATATTCTTTGCATATTTGCTCAGGGATGTGATGCCTCTGTTCTCATAGCTTCACCAAATGGAGACGCGGAAAAAGATTCTTCAGATAATATTTCCCTTGCAGGAGATGGCTTTGACACTGTAATAAAGGCAAAAGAAGCAGTAGAGGCTCAGTGCCCTGGAGTAGTATCATGTGCAGATATTTTAGCCATCGCCACCAGAGATGTTGTAATGCTGGTAATAGAAGACACAGAAACCATTCTCTTTTCATTTACCTTAAAATTTAAACTGTCACTTGACTTGTTGATTTCCTCTGGTGAAAACATTCAGGCAGGAGGCCCTGCATACAATGTAGAATTGGGACGTCGCGATGGGCTCATCTCCAAGGCTTCTCGGGTTGCTGGAAAATTGCCAGAACCTCACTTCAATCTCAATCAACTTACAACTATGTTTGCCAACCACAATCTCAGCCAGTTTGACATGATAGCTCTTTCTGGTGCTCATACACTTGGCTTCTCTCACTGTGACCGTTTTGCAAACCGTCTCTACTCATTTACCTCATCCAACACCGTTGACCCTTCTTTGGATCCCGAATATGCTAAACAACTGATGCAAATGTGCCCTCAAAAAGTAGATCCTTCCATTGCTATAAACATGGATCCTGTGACTCCGCGAACATTTGACAATGAGTATTACAAGAATCTGGTTGGAGGAAAGGGTTTGTTCACCTCAGATCAGGTGCTCTTCACTGATGAAGCGTCTCAACGCACTGTTAATGATTTTGCCAATAGTGCTTTCGAATTTAATGGAGCTTTTGTCTCTGCAATGAGAAAACTAGGAAGAGTTGGTGTCAAAACCGGTAATCAAGGTGAAATAAGACTGGACTGCACCAGGTTCAACTCATGAGGCCCAAGTTCTGCCTTCAACGAAAGGAAAAACTGCTACTTTGTAAATCCATGTTAGAAGTCCGAAAAGTTAAAATAATTTGTTTTTGGCTATATTTTTTATGTAACCGGCTAAATAAATCACGTGTTTTGAGTTCTGCAATAATTCTTATACTAGACATATGAGCTGAGTGGAACCATATGAACAGTATAATTAGTGAGTTGAGACTTGAGACGAGCAACAAGTTTTAACATAAAGATACCCTAATCCAATCTGTGTTACTGAGTTTAATCTTGACTTGCACCTGGTGCAGTAATTTGCATCATCCACAAGCATGAACACAATCAATTCTATGTTCGTTCGAGGTACGAACGGTTGTTTTAGAGATGGAGAATGCAATGACCCGAAAGGTCATATTGTGTTTTAGAACCCAATTCGGGGTTCTGAGGTCTTCAAACCGTCATTTCTTCTCTCGATTCGTATGCGTCAGTCCGGTC